CTAAAGGATTTCCTACTACCACATGAATATATTATACATTTACTTCCTTGGGCAAAATACATGGAAGGAATGCGTTTTAGGTCTCAAAATTTGGGGATGTAATATCTACGACCCATAGAATAATCTCAACAAAAGGTTTCCAAAATAAACTCTCTATGTACTAGAAAAAATAATGCCTCAAGATTGAACAGAGATCACCTAATTTTTGAAGTGCTAGATATTAGTTTCACAAAACTCAAACATCAAAATTTTCTTTTAAAATAATCATCAAGTACTTTTTATATTGTTCTAAAAATTTTAGAGTAAAAAAATCAATGTACCTAGGTTATGATCAAGGGAGTAAATGCACAATATCCTCCAGTGGGAGCATAATATATGGTGGATAAATGAGTTTTTGTTTGGTTCACCCCTGTCCCGCAATGTAACATCGAAGTAGGGGGTGTGCATAATGTTTGTAACATCAAAGTAACGGGTGTGCATAATGTTTGAAAAAACTAGACCCATACTGTAATAATATGCTATTTTTGTGAGGGGTCAATTACCAAATGGACAGTCATTTGCTCGAAATTACAAGCACCACCCCCTCCTCCGTGTAAAGTTCGTTTTTTTTTAAGTTGCCTTCTTGTACAGCAATTCAAATACTAGATAGGGAAAAGGCTAATTTTAAAAATAACAGAATTGTTGTGCATTTCAAGTACCAGATAAGAGGAGGGCTAATTTTAGATGTTTTTCATCCAGTGTTTAAAATATTAGACAACTCTTTCATATAATAATAATAATAAATAGAAAAAAAGAATGTGAGCATTAGTTCTCTCTCTGCCCAAGGGAAGATCTTTGACATCTCACTCAAGCAAAATTAAAAGGGTCTGGGAATGGTTGTGCAATGCCTGAACTTTATTATTAGTAGTAGAGAAGTGGCAGTAATGGTGGCACCCCTTCAGATCTCCATGACCCACATGTAATCTTTGACATCTCACTCAAGCAAAATTAAAAGGGTCTGGGAATGGTTGTGCAATGCCTGAACTTTATTATTAGTAGTAGAGAAGTGGCAGTAATGGTGGCACCCCTTCAATTCTCCATGACCCACATGTAAACTCTATAGAAAACTTTAGAGAGAGAGAGGAACTCTTGAGAAAGTAATTGGGCCCCACACAATTGTTTGTAGTGGTGCTTTGATAAATATTCCTCTTGAGAAAGTAATTGCGCCCCACACAATTTTTTGTAGTGGTGCTTTGATATATATATATATATATATATAATGTTAATATAATGGTGTAATGTCCACTTTTCTATCTTGTTACATGTAATATACAGTTTCCTATCTTGTTATATTCTCTTCTCAAAAGGACATAGCAATATATAATTTCCTATCTTGTTACAAGTTTTGACATTTTTTTATATTACAGCAACCTAGCGCTTGAAGAAAAATCCACCCCCAATATACTATGATGATATTAGTGAGTCGGACGTTGTTTTTGGTAATCCATTATATGCCTACACTCTGCGTCGGGACCTTCATGGTCAGGATAGCGATCTACCTAAATTTGATGAAGATCCAGTTGAAGGTAAATACCAGTAGGTTTGGATTTTCAATTGAAATCATCATTTATTAATGTCATGTATAACCCTATTTTTAATGAAGTCTTGTATTTGATGAAGGTCCTATATTTGATAAAGAACAAAATGAAATGAGAGAACTTGGCCTTGAGCTAGTACGGATATCTAACATTCTCCACTGAGACCAGTAAGTTTGGATCTTCAATTGAAATCATCATTTATTAATGTCATGGATAGCCCTATTTTTAATGAAGGTCTTATATTTGATGAAAGTCCTATATTTGATGAAGAACAGAATGAAATGAAGAAATTGGCCTTGAGGCAGTACAGATATCGAACTTTCTCATCAATGGAGGGTTGGATAAGCAAGATATCAATCCAAACCTAGAAGAGATCGAGCTTATGGAGATACTTAAGGAAGAAAAAAATAGATTTAAAGGAGAATCGATAAGTGAAGTTAGTTTAGTCATTGAAGCACCCATTTTGAATATGCTCCCTTAATATATTTTAGAGCTGAGCATAGACAAGTTATATGGATATACAATGACCATTCCTCAAGAGTTTCTCATTTGTAATACACAAACATTGTGGTTTGATTAGTGCAGTAACCACAAGTCCTAGGATCGTGCTTACAATATTTAGGTCGAAAAAAATTGCAGGGACTAATAGAAATTTCATTTTAGCATAATTTAAATCTCGAGGACGAGTTGTTTTCCAAACCAATGGATAATGATGCAGATAAAGATCAGATGAATTCATTTGTTTTTATTCTTCTCAAAGTTTTGAGGACTTAATTGTTTTAAATTTTTTTTTATGAGTGTGTTTTTATTTTTATTTTATTATGATCAATTTTAATAGATGCATTTGGTGAAATAAAATAAAAGTTTTTTGTAGAGAGAGAGCCCTTTTGTGTTTTTGTGTTTTTTTTTTCTATGCTTTGGTGGTGCGTGATGGCGGACTCGGACTTCCACGTACATTTATACTTACTTCTTGCTGATATCTTCTCAGTTTTTTATTTCTCTATCTAAAACACTATTGTTTTGCCGTTTATTGGTGATCGGTAATCGGTAATTTTCAACTGCATTACCTAGCCAATTGCCTCGTCAAATATATATATATATATATATATATATATATATTTATTCATTTATTTATTTATTGCTTCTTGGGATGAAGGAACTGCAATCAGTTGTCTTTCACCGAAAAAAGAAATAAAAATCCTTGTACCATTAGGAAATAAATTTATTTCTTGTTGAATTTGGTTTCTTAAAAATAAGAGATTGGAACCATTAATATCAATATCAGTATCAATACTAAATTCCTAATAACATAGAATTTCTTTATGGTGGTGATTTTGGATATCACTATATCCAAGAGGCCACGAGGCTATCGGTACTCTTTGAGGAGAGTGGGTCCGTACCGCACTGCTTAATCAATGAATTTTACGCCTCAACTTTCTTTCCATCTTCTTCAACAAATTGATTGTACGTCTTGGTTAATGGCCATATTGATCATACCGTAATGCCATTTTGATCGTACGTTATCAAGAAATTTATCAAAATGCACCTAAGAGATACAGCATTTGGTAATTAAATCATTTCTTTTTGTCTTAATTCCAGAAAGCTAGATATCTATATATCACTGGATCATCAACTGAAATTGTAGAAAAATGCATGAAATGCTAATGCTGACAAATTACCTTATAATTCTCGCCATCTGGGGATGGCAATAAACCACAAGCAAGATGAACCACATCCCATATATATTACGAACTGATCCCATAATCTGTCAGTAGGTTGTTCTTGAAATCCAAAAAGACGGCCGTCAAAATGAGGATAATGCCTAAATTGAGTGCATATCTCGACATCCATAGCAGTGTATTCATTGCCCTGACTGTCTGAACCAGACAGGAAAAGATGAGGATGACCCAGCCAACGGCAACTATTAACTTGGCATCATCGATGATAATTTCGAAGATCCCTTCTTCAGCGACGAACTTCATCAAGACCATCGTAAATGTTAATGCAAAAACCTTCGTAGTGGTAGTAGGTTCATTCAGTCTCTCATCGGGCTCCATATCATCCTCCATGTCATTTGCCAACCTTTGCAGTTCTTCCAGCAACTACACAGTTCACAAGATGGCGTATGGCTGATAATTGGCAATGTAATAAGATATCTTCATGGTCACGTGTGTTCGAAAATATTGTTGTTTTTTTTTTCTTTTTTTTTTTAAAAAAGGTTGAAATAAGCCAAAACTGCTTACAAAATCATAAAGGATTTATTTTAAATTTTTATACCCAAGAGTACCAAAATTGCTCTTATTCCGTGTTAGAAACCCTGACCAATAATTTAACCCAAGTTGAAGGACCAGATCAAATGATGGGAGTACCCTTACTTGTATAGGGTAGGTTAAATGTTATTCATCTGAACCAAAAATAGGGACCATCATAGTTTTTGTTTTTTAAGATATTTCTTAGGAGGATCCTAAGTGAAATAAAAATTAGAAAAAATAAACCTCGTAATATTACTTGTGATGTTTTGTAAGGAGTTTTGAAACTTTAAACAAAATTTTCCTAAAAATTAAGGACAATAGATAGGGTCTGGATCCCAAGTCATGCCTAATTAGTCATGACTCACTCAATCCAAACAATAAAATCATGATATTACAAACTAGGCATTCTCGCCCAATTTCCATGTATTTATATTAATTAATACACCTCATAACGCTGAGTGCTATTTATCTCCTCCCATGTTTCACGTAAATCTTAAAATTTTCCATGAGAATTATTAAACTAAATTAATTTTATGGAAAAGTATAGAATGAGACTAGTTAACTTTATTACGAGGTGGTCGTAATTAATCTTGACCATTAAGTGTGAAATTAAGTGGCTGCATTTATTTTATTAACCAAATTCAAATTTGAAAAAATATTAACAACTTTATGAGACACCTAAATTATCAAATTTTATCTGATGTGACCACTTTGCAGTGCAAAGATAAATAGTCTCATTGGATACCAAAGGTAAATATATAATCTCCGAGTTCAGTTTTTAAAAAAATAAACGTGACGGGTAAGGTAATTTTAGATTGGTGAATGAAAGCAGTGTTCAAAAGCATGCGAGTCTCGGGACACACGCATCAGCCAGGCGCGGAGACCAGTACCCATATACGACTCGGGTGTTGAATCTCTCCTTCTATAAAGGACCGCAGATATGGACCTTTTTCATCTCTTCCCTTTGTCGGTTAAAAGTAAAAAGGGACCAGATCCTCCCCCCTTTCATCCCTCTCTCTCTTTTTTTCAAGGAGGTAGTTCCATACCCGTCTTTCATCTCTCTATGACTAGGAGTTGCAGATCCACCCCCTTTCATCTCTCTCTAAAAGTGGCTGAAATTTGCCCCTAGTTTTTCCCTCTCTCTGTAAAAAAAAAAAAGGAAAATCCTAATTTTTAAAAAATTCTATTGACTCCAATTTTCAGCAAAATAGTTCCCCATTGAACCGGGAAATTTTGGAGAAATCACCACAGTTCGTCGGTTAGGTCAGTGTTTTAAAAACCCGCTGATTTTCAATCCAAATCGCTGGTTTAGATGGGAATAGGTGGAGACCCAACTGGCTATGGGATGGTATCCACCTTAAAACCCGTTTTTTCATATATATTTTTTTCTTTTTTGGAAAAAAAAAACCTAACCCAGAGATCCAACATAGATCTGTGGGCCAAACCATCCACCTGATCAATCTGCATTTTAAAACACTGGTTTCCAATCTGCGTTTTAAAACACTAGGTTCATCCAAACAATCTGCTTTGATGAGGGGATGGCATCCAAACACTGAGTACGAGCTTAACAAAATATGTGGATGGCATTTCTTACCTCAGGTCTCATATTCAAGTTATTTGCAAGATCCAAAACAGTGTCGCCGTGATTATCGCGCTGCTGAATGAGTTGGCGCACACGATCAAAACCTCGGATCAAATCGATAATAAAGTCACCATGTTCATGCACGACACACAGATGAAGAACGTTCCTGCCTTCATCGGTGAGGCTCGCGGCCGAGTTCGGCCAGGACCGGAGGATTGCAAACAACATGTTCTCTTGCCCCTTCGAGGCCATGTGATGGATGGGTTCTAGACCCTGCCCATCACGTTGGCAATACAGGTATCGGTGTTCATTGCCTAGAAAGGCATTCACAATGTAATCTTGGTTATATTCAACAGCCATGTGCATTGGAGACTGCTGTCTGCGGTTCAGGGAGAAAGCCATGCACGGTCTTCGCCTAACGATCTCCCGTGCTATTTCCACACACCCGAACCTGCACACCAAATGAAGTGGGGTGTCTAAAGTGATTTCTACTTGCTCGTCTAGCATCCGCTCATTCTGCCTAACTAGCTCCATGAAGTCGACATAATTATCGAGCACGCATGCATAAAACAACCTGTGGTCCATGGCTCGCTCTCTCTCTCTCTCTCCCTTCTGGTATATGGGTATGGCTAAGGCATGGACTGTAAATCATTGAAGTAAGCCGCACTCCTAGAAGGACACCGTTCCAGTGCTATGCGCCTGACACGAGTCGAACCAAAATCATGTTGACTCATGTCAAAAATCATGTTGACTCATGTCAGACAGACAGCTGGAGTCGATGCGAATTTGTATAACCGAGTCTCTACGACTTGTGCATTCAAAGCTTCCAACGACATCTGCCAAATAAAATTTTCGACGCCCTTTCATTTCTCTTTTTGTTTTCTTTTGTTCTTTTTTGTTTTCGCCTGTTTCCAGAGAAAATAAGAAAAAACCCAATTAGATTAATAATTTCATTTCTCTCTGTATCTTAGATTATTTATTGTTTTCATATTTGCTCGCTTGCCACATGGTGTCTCTTCGTATTTTAAGAGACCAACCGTCCCGTGCTATGCGTCGCAACTTCACCATGGAACACAAGTACCAATCTGCTGGTGGTCTCCGCCGGAGCCAATGGGGTACAGTTCACTATTGTGCACCAATGTCCTAGAAATGTGCAAGTTCAATATAGTTGTGAAGTATGTCATTAAGCCCTAGTTTCATATAGATCTTCTCATCTTTTAGTTTTTAGAATATAACATATTTCATATAGATTTTTTTTCCCTTTAGTTCTTAAAATACAAGTAGAGAGGATATCCACATATTAAAAGAAACTTACCATCATCCGTATTCTCTCTCTCTATAAAATAAAACGAGGGACTGTATCTAATGAAACCATTTATCTTTGGTAAAAAGAGGTTACAATTGCTTAAAACCATCCGATGTGACATATGATAGCTTGGGTATGTTACAAGTTTGATAAAATTTCTTTTGAATTGCAAGCTTGGCCAATGGAGTAGATGCAACAACCCAATTTCACATTTGTGACCATCTTGTACCAAATTTAAGCTCTCATTGTATAATTTTTCAAACCAGGGTTGTATACGATGACATTATTTATCTTTGGTATAAAGAGGTCATTCGATGTGACATTTGATAGCTTGGTGAGTCACAAAGTATGAAAAAGTTTATTTTAAACTATGAGCTTGGTCAATGGAGTACATGTAGCAATCCAATTTCATATCCAACGGTCAAGATCAATAGGGATCGTGACCACCTATTACAAAACGTAAATAGTCTCATTGTATACTTTTGCAAAAATGGGATTGAATACAAAGAGACCATTTATCTTTCGTACAATAAGGTCACAATTAATCCTGACCATTGAATGAATAAGTAATGGAGACCTCCTTATACCAAAGATAAATGGTCTCATTGTATACAATCATGTTTTGAAAAAGTATCAAGCAAGGAGAAAGTCTGTAAAAAAAAAAAAAAATCCAAGTAAGGAGAACTCTATTAAGGGTTATACTATAATACCGGCACAATTATAGCTGCTGGTATTTGTTAGCTTTTTCCTATATGAATAAACCTTTCGAATACTTGATATCTATAATGAATAGTAATATAGGTGAAATCACAGCCGTCAGATCTTCATCGAGTGGTTCAAAATATATATCACTATTTTTAATTTTAACTTTTTTATAAATATGATTAAGATGAAATTTTCGATGTATATACCATACACTATTTCGCACCATATAAAAATATAAAAAATTATTTTCAATAATTTAAAATGACCAAATTACTACCATCATTTTTCAGGGGTATTTCGGTTATTTTATATTTTTAAAAATATTTTTTATATATTTTTTTAATTATTCGCACTATTTTTTAGTATGCACATCAAAAGTTTCATTGTGATCCGATTTCAAAAAAAAATATTAAAATTTATATAGTGATATGTATTATGAACCATGTAATGAAGATCTGACGGCTGTGATTCTACCTATATCCCTATTCATTATAGATGCCGGTATTTGTTAGCGTTTTCCTATATAAATAAACTTTTCGAACACTTAACAGCTATAATGAATAGCAATATAGGTGGAATCCCAACTGCAAGATCTTCATCGAGTGGTTCAAAATACATAGCACTGTTTTAATTTTAACTTTTTTTTATAAATCTCATTATATTGAAATTTTGGGTGTATATGCCTAACGCAATTGCGCACCATATAAAAAATTTATTTTCAATAATTTAAAATGATTAAATTGCATCATCATTTTTAAGGGTATTTCGGTTACCTTATATTTTGAAAATTATTTTTTATATATTTTTTAATTGTACTACCTTATTATTTTAGAAGATGTGGTTGGGTCTAACACGGTTTTTACCTAATACGAGTGAACCACTCCCTTTAAATATTTTACGAGCACTGATGAATTCCTATCATGGGTTGGTCTCCCTTAAAATTGATTATGAAAGTAATCTATAATATGTTTGATTATTATTACAAGCCTCACGAGTCAACTAGGTCTCACTTGAATTATTATTATTAAAATAAAACAGATTATATTTATGAAAAAGAATCTATAATGTGTTTAAGGACTATTACGAAAAGAATCTCCAGACAACTAAGTCTTGCGGGAGTTATCAGGTTACCAGGAGTAAAATAGATGAGGATCATCCATGCCTGCGAAGTTTCCAATATCTTATTGTTTACAACATTGCCCAATACCTCTAAGATAGATATAGAGAGAAAGAAACTACGATATTATTTTATGGGTGCGGTTTGTATAGAGCCAAGGCTCTAAACAATCAAAGTGGTACCTTCAAATAGTGTCTAAAAATGTGGTTTTAATATTGAAAATTTTTGTGATAGTTTTAAATTATATTTTTATTTCCAATTATAAGATTTAAAGCTTACAAAATAGTGTATTCGATCGGATCTATAAAAACTTGAAATCTTGAAAATTTACGGTCCAAAAATGTATTAAAAGATCTGCGATTTCCAAAACTTGAAATCCATTCTTTTCTTATATATATGCATCTTGATGATATCGAGATGATCAATTTGAAGATATTTGGGCATCAATATAACCTCTTCTAGTGAAATTTTTGAGGTGTGCTCTAATTTGATTGTCTAGAGCCTCGGCTTTATATAAACTTTTTCTTTATTTTATTATGATATAAGATAGAGAACCTACTTATGATATTATGGAAAAGTATAGAATAAGACCATTTATCTTTGTACAAGGTGGTCACATTAATTTTGACCCATAGATGTACGATTGGGTATCTGCAATTATTTTATTGACCAAACTCAAACTTCAAAAGAATTTTTTTCAAACTTTTTGACACATCCAATAGATCAAATTTAACATCAAATGGTTATAAGTAATTGTGACCTATTTAACATTATCATCGTATACAATCCCTTATTTGCAGAAGATGCAGTTGGGTGCAACATAGTGATTACCTAACGCTACGCATTCTCTTTATATCTCCTTCAAGGTCTTACTTAAAAAAAAAAGAGAGAGTCGTATCATGGGATGGCATTGTAATGCATGTAGCATACAAACATATATTGCATATCACCGTTGAAATAGACGGTTTTTCATCTGAACGACATGAGTGGATTTGACGAAAGCTCTATGGTTCAAAACATATGCTGCAGGTTGCATGAAGCATACTGTTTCATGCTGTTTAAATCATGTTACATTCCCTATTTCTGTACTTGTTTAGCCTATGACCCTTCTATATACAAGTAGAGAGAAGAGAACACAGAGAGCGAAACAGAGACAGCTTTATCTGTTTACAACCAGAATTCAAATCCGTGTTGAGCTCTCAGTGGAAATGAGTAATTTAACAATGATTCCAAAGCCTGACTGAGGAGATTAGGAGAGCAGAGACCGAGGAAGAGTGAGAGGTCAGATCCCTTGCGGTTCCTTTGAGCAATGGACCCGAGGTTATATGAGGCCTGCAGAACTGGCAATTTAGCTGCTCTCCGAGACCTAATTAACCAAGACATGTCCATCTTGCATGAAGTTGTGCGGGGCACCGGAGACACTCCCTTGCACGTTGCTGCGAGATTCGGAGATCCCATCCTTGCGAGGGAGGTCCTCCAGCATAGACCGGACATGGCTCATGCTATCAACCTTCAAGGACTCTCTCCCATGCATCTGGCAGTAGCGAACAGGCACCTCGATGCGTACAGAGTGCTTCTCGATGCCGATCACAGCAACCTTTGCTTCCTCAGGGACAGAGATGGAAGGACCCCTCTCCATTATGCGGCCATGAATGGGGACTTCATCGCATTGTCATTGATATTGTCGCGTTCTCCCAGATCTGCTGAAACTTTGACAGATAGGGGTGAGACGGTTTTGCTTCTATGTGCTAAATATCATCGCTTCGAGACTTTGAGAGACATTCTCAGGACTCCGGCGTTTAGAAATCTTACTGATCTGATTAATCAACCTGATAACAATGGAAACACCGTCAAGAAATTGGTAAACGTTGCCAGAAGACCTGAGGTAAGTTGGTTCTTGTCTCAGCCAAGTTTGTTAAGAGTCCGCTGAGTTTGTGCAAAAAACTTTTTTTTGGTAATTAAGTTTGTACAAATTGTGGTACTAAAACTCGTGCTAGTCCTGGTTACTCGTGCTAGTACAATCCGCCGAACTCTCTCTCTCTCTCTTTCTTTATTTACCCAAAATTAGCTGCGCTGCCAGCTCCCTTCTCCACCAAAATTAATGGACTCTTCCACTAAAATTAGTAGTTCCCCCAATTCCACCACCGCTTCTCATCTCTAACATGGAGGCGCAGCTTATTTCTCCACTATTTCTTATCTCATTTTCAATCAATCCACCATTTTTATGGCCACTGTAACTCTGATTTGTGGCCAATCCACTGTTTTTAGCACTTCTGCTACTCTCGATGGAAGTGGATCCACCATTTTTCCTGTTATTTCCACTATCACAAGAGATTCTTTTAATACATTTTTTCCTTTCAATGGAAAATTTGGCCTCCATAGAAGGCTCGCTTCCATGGATTAGAGAGGAGCAAACACTTCATAAATCATCCAATTTTTCGGCAAAATCTCCAATCTCTTCCCCTTTTTTGACAATGGTGAACTTCTCATCCCTAATTTATGTGAGTTTTCCGGCCAAAATACAGTCTTGATCCAATTTTCTGGGAAGATCCCCCACTAAGCAGTTCTCGTCCCCTTTTCTGGCAAACCCGTAGGTTTCATCTCTTTCTCCGGCGACGCTGTTGAGTTGGTGGAGGAGGCGGCGGCCCTTGAGCTTGCTGGAAACCACCGCCATGTCAATTGTTCTCATGTGCCAAACCTCCTCCTCTTTGCCCTCTTTTTCCTCCTCATTTTCTTTCACCTCCCAACCCTCATCCTCTTCGTCGTTATCTCTCTTTGTCCCTCCAAGTTTCTCTCTAATTAATGTTTTCTTTGCTGTGGTGTTTCTGTGAGGAAGGGAGGAGGAATGAAGACGGACGGCGGTGGTGAGATTGGTGATTGGACCAGTGTATGGTGAAGGAGGGTAGAGAGAGAAAGAGTGAGAGACGGTTGAGAGAGAAAGAGACAAACGGTGAGGGAGGATAGAGAGAGAAAGAGTGAAGGAGGGTAGAGAGAGAAAGAGATGGAGAGAAATGGGTAGAGGATCTGTAAATGTCTCGGGACTAAAAGTAAAAACGAGTAAAGGGGTAATTTGATCTCAAAATGCATTGGGTAAATACAAAAAAAAAAAAAAATATTGAAGTTTCGGCCGTGTATAATACAAAAAATAATCAAAGTAGGATGTTGAGAAAGTTGAAATGGGCGTATCTATAATTTTTCCTATTTATTGCATGTTACATGGGGTTATTATTACATGTTATAATATTAAATGAACACGACGACCAATAGGACTCGATGTCTAGTACAGTGTTCGTCAACCCAACCGGGTTGATCCTGTCAAGTTTTAGCCTGTTTTTTGCAGTCAAGTTTCTAAGGAGTTCTTAAAAATTCAAAAAAATAAGAAACTTATTTGTAATGTAATTTTTTTTTATGTTCTCTATCATTTTGATAAAAATTGGAAAGCCTTTGGGTTATGAATATTTATTTTTACATTTTCTCTCCTTTTTAAATTATTTCCAAAGCACTAATGTATTATTTAAAAAATATCCCTGTTCACAGGTTTCCTATATCAATATCCACTTTTTTATTATTTTTTTAGCTTTATTTAGTTGTTTTATTTAATATTACTCTAGAGTCTAGACATAATTTCCATTTTTTAATTTATTTTATGTATTTTTATTTTTTTAATAAATTTTGGCCTGACCAACATATGTACGGTTCTTCCAAGTTACTCCAGCTTACTCCGACCGGCCCATGTCATGTCTGGGATCCAAAACCCGCTCGTGTGATTGAACACCGGTCTAGTACATATTCCTATCACGGGTTTCTTAAAGTGTTCAGGGACTCGCTAGGTTAATGAAGTTTGATGGACTCAGCCTGCCCAGCCCAAGCAAAAATAATAAAATATCAGAAAAAAACCAAATACGGCTGATATTTAATGAAGAGAGAGGGGGGAAAATTGATTGGAAAAGCAAATAATATTACTATTTGTACAAACTGATTACAATTAATTTTGACCATTGGATGTAAAATTGGGTAGCGGCATTTATTTTATTGATCAAGTTCAAAGATAGAAAAACTTTCTCAAAGTTTATGACACATATCATATTTCACGTAAGATGGTTATAGGTAATTGTTACATCCTTATACCAAAGGCAAATAATCCCAATGTATACAATCCTAAAATTATTGTAGAGAGAAGATTGAGTTTACGAGAAATTCAGTTGGACCATTTTTCATTCGGATCGGCCATTGTTGTTTCATGAATAAACTGGACCCACCCATGCCGAATCCTCTTGCGTATTTTTCATTTTAATACTTGTTTCTTCGTTTGAAATTATTTGTTTTTGGGGTGGAATGGACCCTCTAGATAGATTGTTACAATATATATTATTTTCAAAGCTTAAAATACTTTTTTATTTTCTCACAGCCATAATGTTCAAGATAATCAATGTAAAAGTTTTCCAATGCTAAAATTATAATATAGTAAATAGAATTAGGGTTATATTTTCTCTAATATCCTAATTGTTTACACCACACCATATTTGCAGCTCGCGGAGTATCTCCAACAACAAGATGAAGACGAGAAAAAGCATTGGATTGATTTCTTGAAGATATCTAGGAATGCCACTTCAGTGGTGGCTGGTCTGATAGCCACAGCAGCCTTCAATGCAGGACTCAGCCCTCCTAGTCGTGACAAAAGTGACGGACAAGCTGCAATCGTTGCCAGCAGGGTGCATACCGCAGCATTCAAGGTGTTTGTGATTGCCAATGCCATGGCACTGATGCTATCACTCAGCATTCTCGTCATCGACATTGTCATCGTACCATTCGTTCCCGCGTCGTTCTTGGAGCTAGCAAAGTGGACCAGACGAATATTATGGGGCTCTTTGGCAATGCTGCTGGTGGCTTTCATGTCTGCAACCCGTGTTGTAATACCACACACCGGAGCACATAGTTGGCTGGTGTGGTACATTTGGTCACTTGGGGTGCTCACAGTTCTCTTGCTACTCGTCTTAGTGTGCGTGATGAAGATTTTCTATTCCGGTGCATTGCCCCAGGAAAACGGTGCTAGAATCCCTGAGGAAAACAGAGATAGAATCGCGCAAGAAAACGGTGCTAGGATCCCGGAGGAAAACAGAGCTAGAATTCCCCCGCGTCCATGGGCTGTTGTTGCCGACGTTAACGTGCGATGAAGATTTTCTATTCCAGTGCATTGCCCCTGGAAAACGGTGCTAGAATCCCGGAAGAAAACAGAGCTAGAATCCCAGAGGAAAACAGAGACGTTCCCCAGCATGGAATGGCTGTTATTTCCGCCATTACCGCCACAAGTCATGAACCAGGGCATTGTTGAGTCCCGCAGTGGAAAAATTGACACTCACGAGTGCCTTGTGCACAATTCGAAACACACGAATAATACCACGTACAAATCAGGAAACATCCATGCACCAAATTTAGAGAGAGAAAATAAAATTTTTAATTCGGACTTGTTTTCTATTATTTCTCAAGTCAAAATTTGGGCATTTTGTAAAGAAGAGAATTACTCACAAGATTCTGATTTTAATTTGGTCGAAAAAAGTAATTTTGGTGCTCGATTTTTAGAGTTTAAGGCTTCAATTGTTGGATTTATGTGGTATTTAAAGGCTTTAAGAGAGATTGTATAAACAAGTAAATAAATGAATTATAAACTCAGCGGGAGTGTAGTCCTATTGTGGACCATATTCGACGTATGCAATTTGCTGATACTCGAATTAAGCTTGACGTGATAGGTCAGCCGAGTAGGAAAACCCAAGGTACCTGAGCATAGTAATGAAACCGATGAAGGTATAGTGGGTTAACCATTAATGAGGTCGGAGTATGTTCGGATGAGGTCCGATGGACTGTGTGACCTTTGTGTATAATGAATAGTCTATGAAGACATGACTAAAATATCATCGTTGTATCATTACACAGCATGTACATAAATAGCCGTACTGAGATGGTAATCCACCTTTGAATGTAAAGCATGTACTTGTGCGAGAGATTACCCCTATGCACTATAGAGTCATGATTGCATCATGGTCTGACGGATCATGATTTGTCTTTATGGGAGAACTTAAAATCCACATACTGAGATTAATTCCCCTAATCCATTGATTATCTTTAGCAGTCCAATCATGTGCCTCTACAGTGGACCGTGGGTCATGGGAACTGTTAGGTCAGTTTGAGAAAAATAATGTGGATTGTGGTCCACAGTTGAAGGTGGAGTGCTCCTATATGTTGATTAAATCCTATACATATTCTGTTCCGATTTTCATCAAAATTAATTAAATTTAACTAATTTTATGTTATTGATTTTTTGAATATCTATTTGAATTTTTATGAATCTTCTAATATTTTAATTTTGTCATTTGAATTTATAAATAAAGAGAAATTCATTTCTAAAGTTTTAAATAAACTAAAAGGTTTGAAATATCTAAAAATCAATTTTTATGTTTCTAAAATATGTGGGACCCTCCATAATTATTGGAAGCCTATTTAAATCACATGGGACAATTGGGTGGGGCACATGAGTGGCCGCCAAAGGGTGGCATGCCCCACCCATAGGAGATTGTCTTTTCTTGCTAAATATGGTGCGAGGCATCCCATGCTAGTTGGCTTTCTATTTTGAAAAGAAACCCACTTGCATTAAGGAATAATAATATTGAGTTTTAGAATATCTTGTTAATCAAGAAGGTTTGATTTGAAAAATAAGAATTGACTATTTACTAATAGATAAAGTAAATAGATAATTTCTTTATTTAACTTATTTGATGGGAATAGATTTAGAAAGGGGAGAACATGGTTCTAGAACCTTCCTTAGTATCTTGACGATGGATCTAGGGAATGGACAATTTACATCTCTCACCCCACAAATCTCTTTAGATCGACAGTCAAGATTTGCTCCTATGATTTTGTGGCAAACTCTAATGCATGAAAAATCAATAAAAATGATCATTCTCCTCCTTTGTCTCTACACCTCTTACTTACTTTATCTTCTCTTTCTAAACTAGCATATCTCTCTCTAGTCTCTCTAAGGGGCACGCCCCATATAATTTACTCTCCTTCTCCAACACACCTAATGGACCATGCCCCACTTAGCCTACCTCTCTCTCTCTC